CCGTATCTCCCCTAATTGGATTCAACTCCATGCCAGAATGGCCTGTCAGTAAAATAATTCTTCCAGTCAGAGCAGGAAGCGTGTCGAAACAAGTGGAGTTCTGGGTATTGAAAGTCCCCTCCACTTACAACATCATCTTGGGCAGAACTTGGCTGCATGCCATGCGATCAGTGGCGTCATCCTACCACCAAGTAATGCGGTTCCCCAACGATACCGAGATAATTGAAGAAGTCTATGGAGATCAGATCATGTCAAAGCAATGCTTCGCCACGGTAAATGGCAGCTGCGCTGCCAAAGGATACGTTCATTCGGTGGAATAACCTGAGAGCAATGAGCTATTCGCAGATGTCGGCAAAGCGGCGGATCAGAAAGCAGTGGAGGACTTGGTAGAGGTAAAAATAGATGAAAAGAACCCGAATAAGTTCTTTTTGTTCGGTTCGTTGTTGTCCAGCATTGAGAGATTAGAGGTCTTGGAATTCTTAACTTCTAACATCGAAGTGTTCGCCTGGACACCCTACGACATGCCAGGCATTGATCCAAACTTCATCTGTCACCAACTCAATGTCCACCCATCCGCCAGACCAATCATTCAGCGCACTCACAGATCGGCACTTCACCATGCCGAAATAGTGGCAGAAGAAGTAGGTAACCTGCTGGAGGCAGGAGCAATTAGAGAAGTGCACTACCCAAAATGGATCTCCAACACGGTCGTAGTGCCAAAGAAGAATGGCAAATGGCGTGTCTGCGTCGACTATAAAACAGTCAACAAGGCGTGCCCAAAAGACAACTTTCCTCTACCACGGATAGATCAACTGGTAGACCTAACGGCGGGGCACAACCGACTTAGCTTTCTGGATGCATACAGAGGCTACCACCAAATCGCCATGCATGAACCAGACCAGGAGGTCACATCCTTTACAACTCCAAGAGGACTGTGCTGTTACAAGGTCATGCCCTTTGGCCTGAAGAATGCAGGGGCAACATTCCAACGAATGGTCACCAAGATGTTTGAACCATTGTTAGGAAGAACGATGGAGGCTTACATCGACGACATGGTGGTCAAAAGCAAGGATGAAAATGACCATCTCAAGGACCTAGGAGAGATGTTTGATATCCTGAAGAAGCACAAGTTGCACCTCAACGCATCTAAGTGTGCATTCGGTGTAGGATCTGGCAAATTCTTGGGCTTCCTTGTGACCAACCGGGGTATAGAAGCGGACCCCTCCCAGATCAAAGCAATTCAGGATTTGGAGAGACCAAACTCAATAAAAGAAGTGCAGCATCTCACCGGCATGGCAGCCGCGCTCAATCGGTTCATAAGCCGATCGTCAGACAGACTACGACCATTGTTTCAAGCTTTAAAAGCCAAGTTCGAATGGGACGAAGAATGCGACCAAGCTCTGGAAAGCTTGAAAGAATACATGTCCTCTCCATCATTGCTGGTCACCCCAATACCAGGAGAAGAACTCTTCATGTACCTGGCAGTCTCTCAGCACGCAATTAGCGCAGTGTTGGTCCGTGCAGAAGGAATTCAACATCTGCCCATCTATTATGTCAGCAAGACATTGCTGGGAGCCGAAACAAGGTATTTGCCACTGAAAAAACTGGCATTAGCCTTGATGATGGCCTCCAGGAAATTGACACACTACTTTCACGCCCACACCATAGTCGTCCTCACAACTTTCCCACTAAAAGCTTTGTTTGAGAGGGCGAACTTTTCTGGGCGAATCTTGAAGTGGGCAGTAGAATTGGGACAATACGACATCAAGTTCCAACCTAGAACCGCAGTAAAAGCCCAATCTTTGGCAGACTTCGTCGCAAAGTTTACTCTTGGAAGTCATCATATCTGCCCAGTCGACCTAACTGACACAACCGAACTAGGGATGGAAGTTGACGCCGGAATAGCACAACCCCTAGCAGAAGGTACTCAGTCAGACTCCAAGGCAGACCAGGCTAAAGACAGCAAGGAAGAAGCAAACCAAGCTACACCAAACCAAGACTCACCAACAAATAAAGACTTGGTTCAATCAGATAGCGAGGGGCAGACAGCAAGCATGGACCTTGAAGAAAACACCAGCAACATTCTTGACCCCACGACATCATCCGACCCCTCCACTTGCTGGAAGTTGTTCGTTGGTGAGATGTGGAAGCTCTTTGTGGATGGAGCATCCAACCGGCATGGTGCAGGACTTGGCATAGTCCTCATCTCACCAGACGGCCTGGTTATAGAGTCACAATACGAAGGGCAATTGTGAGGGTAATTTCTGTATGGAAAATTAGGCCGAGCTGGGTAAATGGGCCGTTTCGAGCCGCAATACGAAGGGCTGAGTAAAAGGGCCATAGAGTTAGACCGGCCTAGGGGAATTTTGAAGTTAGTCCGGTCCTAAGGCCGACAAGCTAGTCCGGTCAGACAAGATCGAAGTTAGATCCGTCTAACGGTGCTTTGGAGTTAGACCGGTCTTGGAGTTACACCGGTCATGACATGTTAGTTCGGTCTAACCACGCCATAGGTTGTGCATGAGAAGCCGACGTAAGAGCAATAAAAGAAAGAGTTAGTTCGGCTTACTCTTCGACTATGCATAGACATATTTACTTCGGTCATATTGGAGTTCGGTCATGATAAAACCATCTCACTTGGTTTAAACAGTGAGGGGGGTGTTGAAGGATAAGCATTATCTTTCAGGAGTATGAATCCTAGGAGGACTCTGCATGGAGGAGTAGAAGTCCTACTAGGATTGTGCCACACGAAACCTATAAGAGCTCACAAACATCACCTTTGGAGAGGTAATACACAACTTTGTTTTCTGAATACACAGAGCTTTTGTTTACTTGTCTATTTTGCTGACTTAGGCATCGGAGAGGTTTCCGGCACACACCTGCCAGCTAGCTCACGTTTGTGTTTTCAGGGAGTAAAGTGACGTCGTACAGAGGAGCGCAGACTTGATCAACAGAATTATACGAGAAGGTTGATTTCTTTCCCGTACATATATATATATATATATAAAGGGGTTAAATAGTAATTTCATTTCGGGGACAAACGGGAACGAAAACAGGGACGAGCCGGGTATGAGACTGGAATACTCACCCCCATCCCCGACCCGAAACTGATCGAGGATTGATTTTTAAATACAATGCCCTCCCTATTGGGGATATTTTTCGGAGAAAAACCGTTCAAATCGGAGTCGGGGGGTCGGGTCCCCGTCAAACCGGGTTTAAATTGCCATCCCTAATCACAGGTCCTGATCCGAACTGTTTAATGTGTAAAGCTCGTCAAATACTTTATCCCTGTAAAAAATTACATTGATCGGATATCGATAACTATTTGATCGGATCAAATTTTTATTAACAATTTATTTTGAAAATTATATTTACCATTGACAGAAATTTGATCCGATTAAGTAGTTATCGATATCCGATCAATGAAATTTTTTTACTAGGATAAAGTACTCAACAAACTCTACACATTGAACGGTTTGAATTATCGAAACAGTACCCGTGTTAGACTCTTATGCTGTGTTTGGTTAGGGAATTTGGGAGAGATTTGAAAAGAGAAAGAGAAAAGGTGTGTGAACTAGGTAAAATATAATTATTATGATATATATATATATATATACATATTTTAATTATGACTTAGAAAAATTAAAATTAATTTTTTTATTTTATTTTTATAATTATAAGATCCATATAATGCATACATAGCGTTTTTTCTTACTTATACTTTATAACCTGAATACTATTTGATCAAACAAAAATGATTGAAAACTCTAAAATAAAGAACTCTAGGTAGCTCTAATTGTGACAAGTTCTACTGTAATATGATGTTTAGTGCTAGTGTTTTTATTTTTTATTTTTTAACTTGCCACATAAATGCTCTCTTTAGAGCATCTCCAACAGTTTAGCAAAATTTTCACTAAATCTGAGAAAAAAAGTTGATTTTCTTGATCTGATACGCGTAGCTTCAATGGTTATGGTTAGTGTAGTATGCATCAAAAAAAGGAAAGGGACATCCGGTCGGTCGATCGGTTCAAAATTTTTTTGAACCGTTTGAACCAGTTTGCAGGCCAATTTTTGCATGAGCCAGTCAACCGGTTGGTCAATCAGGGAGTCGACTGGGTGCTTGACCCCGTAGTATAAAATTTTCACAAATTTCTACTTTAACGACTATGCATAGTGAATTGATGAAAGAAACAAGCCGTTCTCAGTTTGGTAAAACGTTTGATATTTTCTCAATTTGATACTGTTTTAATGCAACCGTTGAGGCACAAAAAATATTTTTTTTCATTAAATTTAAATTTGATATTAGATTTGGTGAACGATTGAAGATAACCTTAGCCACATAAATGCTCTCTTCAGCGCTCTCTACTAGTAGAGCTATATATCATCACTCGTGATCAAATTAGATAGGCCTGTGATGAGCACCAAGGATCCTCTAGAGTGAAATTTTCTTAAAGTTTCCTAGAGTGTTATAGTGTGTGGTTGAGATTTACTGGCAAGTCACATCAAAAAAATTGATGTGACTTACCAGTAAATCTCAACCACACAATGTAGCACTCTAGGAAACTTTAGAGAAAAATCACTCTAGAGGATCCTTTCTCTGTGATGAGAGCAAATTTGGTAAAGAAAAATGCTTGCTCCCACTAATTAGTGCTCCCACTAATTAGGTGGCAGTGGGTCCCGCCATAAATGATGTGATGTTTTAGTCTTAAAGTTGTGTTTTTTTTTTAATTACTTTTTTAATGTATTAATGCTATTAGTGGTGATGTTTTTAGTGGGATGAATCATTATTGTTTAGTAAATAAAATAGATAAACAACTGGAGGACTTCAAAATGGATAATTGTCAAAAAAAATCATCAAACTTTTTCCTTTTTGTTCAAGGTAACAATAAAAAAACAAAACTTTGAGAGGCACAGCCACAACAATTCGTATTGGAACACGAAAACAATATATCAACCAAGTTTTTGTGATTTTAATTTTTTTTCTTTTCAAAAAACAAAAAGCGATAACAAACATCCCTAAATTTGACAGTACGTGAACAATGCTACCAAACCTAAATTCCATCTCTGATAGTCTTGAGAAAATTGTTGGTGCTATTTGCTAATTTTGGAGGAACCACATACACTATGACTTGTTTGGGTTCAAATTTTTAGCTCATAATCTGCTATTGGGAGAGAAATTTAGAAAGAGATTTTCTTGCAGTTATGAGAGAGCCACTTGGACTGCATGTAAGTGGCTTTCCTCCATGGGGGGATGTGAAGACCTCTCTCCCTCAGAGATTGCTTAGCAGCTGAGCAAACCAAACATATTATCTCCATTAGCTTCTCTTCACTCCCAACAAATATGGAAGGCAAAGAAGTTGTAAGCTCTGAGTATGTTGAAGTAGGCCTTGCTAGCTCAAACTGAGACCTGAAATCCATGTCCACTATCAACCTCACTGCTTCACCATTGCTGTCCTTCATAACATCTATATATTCATAATCACCTTTAAATTCAAACACTTCATGTACACAACACAACAAACACACACATATCAGAAATGGGTCCTCACCAAAATCAAGAGACAGAGAGAGACAGGAGAGAGAGACAGAGACAAAGACCTGAAGAGCCACCAAGGGTAGCAGGCCAGGAAGTTTTGCAGAGAGAGGCTTCAAAACCATCCCTAATGAGCCTCAGGACAATCCACTTCTTCAGATTGTTATTGGTTTCATCTATGAATTCGATGTCTCTCAGGTAGATTAAGATTTTTTCAAGGATCTGAGTCTCTGCATTTGTGACCCTCATAAGAACATCCTACAAAAATCCAAACACAAACACACAAAATAAGATCAAACCCAAAAAACAAAATGAATCAAACTTGAATACTATGTTGAAAGCAAGACATAAGAGGATTTTTCATCACAACACATATGGTGCAATTTGAAAGTACCTGTAAAGTGGAAAATGTGGGTTTGTGGTGAATTTGAGGGGGTTCTTCTGAATTTGATTGAGGATGGGAATTGGATTTGGGAGATCCTCCTCCTGATTCAATGAAGTCTCTGACCATCTGAATTAGCTTTTCTTCTTCTGAAGAACTACCCATTTTGGTCGTCCTTAGAAAAAGAAAAGAGGTTTGTTTGTTGCTTATCTCGGTAACGAAGACTTGGAGGCTTGTTGTTTGATTCTTGAAAGCAACAATGTGCTTTCTGTGTAAGGAAGAAATATCTAAATTGCTTGGTTAAGCCTAATAGTGTATATATACTGTTTGGCAAAGCTTCTAATCAAAGCCGTTGTTCGGCGTCTCGTTCAATTCACATTATTTAATTAATTTTTTAATATAAAAATTTGTTTAAAATTTAATTAATTTTTTAATATAAAAATTTGTTTAAAATAAGAATTATTTTCTATAATTTCAAAAATTATAAATCCCCATTGTTAAAATTTTTTATTTAATAAAATTAATTAAAAAATAAAATTTGTAACTGCTCTTTTATACATTGATAAAATTATTTAAATTATTAATTGAAATAAACTTATGATATCAATAAAAACTGTTAATTGACTTGATGATTTATTAATAAAAGAACTATTTGTTATGAAATTAAAAACTTTAAGATCGATATGTAATTTCCAAAATTATAGAAGACAAATCGTATTTTAAACAAATCTCAATGATGCATTTGTAATTTATTCTTATTTTTTTATGAAAGAAATTTTTTTTTTCTTTTTTTTTTTTTGAAATAAAGAGAGATAGAGAGGGGGAGAGAGAGAGTGGTGATTTTATTTATTTATTTATTTAGGCCAAGTTTGACATCTTTAAAAAAAGTCAAAAAGTCAAAAAATCACTAATCTATTTAAGTTACATTATCTTATTTAAGTCACATCACCTTTCTACTACATCACTTCAAACCCAACTCATATTTCATAAAAAGTCAAAAAGTGCACTTATTTAGAATATCCCAAACAACCCCTAAATACGATAGTGACTTTTTGACTTTTTTCAAACATGCCAAACCAAACCTTATTTTCTCATGATAAAATATTAGTAATAAAGGTCTATTTTGACAAGTTTGTTAGAAATTAATTTTTTTTTGACTTTTTTGAATTACATAAATTGTTTCTATCTTTTTACACATTTTTTTTAAAAAAAAAAAAAGAAAAAAAAGAGAAAAAATTAACTTTTAATCAGCTTTCTAAAATAGATCAAAGTTAGATTATTATAATAGATCAAGTTAGATTATTATAATACCCCTCTATTGACTATAGCTTGAGATATTACTACAAGTGCACAAAGCGTTGCCTTATTACGTGCTTTTTGGAAATATCATTTACACAACTTGACAATATTTTGATAATTTACGCACAAAAAAAATTATGAATAAACAAGTTTAAGGTAGTATTTGATAGAGTTTTAAAATTATAATTTGAGAATAAATTTATATTTTGAGTTTATAAGTTTTAAAATTACGATTGGAAAAGAGAAAATTTATTTGATTATTAGTTTTGAATAGAGTTTTGAATTTTTGATGCGACATATGAAATGAGAAAAGTTGTTTGGTTATAAGTTTTGAAAAGAATTTTCAAAATTTAATTGAAAAACTTATAACTTATAACCAGGGCCGGCCCTGAGAATTAGGGGGCCTAAGGCGAATTTCGAAAATGGAACTCCTCTTACATTGACAAAAAAAATTTATGGATAAAATAACAAGTTTCAACTTTTTTATTCGTTTGTAACCAAAAAAAAAATTTACTTGCACATATAATCATTAAAATTATAAACAAAACAATTTAATGAAATAAAATTAGGGAAAAAAATTAGGAAAAAATTATTCAATTAAAACTGATAAAGACGTAAATAAAAAAATTAGGGCAAAATTATTTCTTCGACTAAAATCTAATAGATAAAGAAGGTTTAAAAAAAATAAAATTAGGGCCCATATATTGTATGTATTGTTCTTCTTGGGCCCAAACATTTTTTTTAATATATATTTTCATTTTAATAAATATGGGCTAAACTACACTTATAAATAAATATGAGCTAAACCATACGTGGACCCAATAAAATCAATGAAGTCTCTGACCATCTGAATTAGCTTTTCTTCTTCTGAAGAACTACCCATTTTGGTCGTCCTTAGAAAAAGAAAAGAGGTTTGTTTGTTGCTTATCTCGGTAACGAAGACTTGGAGGCTTGTTGTTTGATTCTTGAAAGCAACAATGTGCTTTCTGTGTAAGGAAGAAATATCTAAATTGCTTGGTTAAGCCTAATAGTGTATATATACTGTTTGGCAAAGCTTCTAATCAAAGCCGTTGTTCGGCGTCTCGTTCAATTCACATTATTTAATTAATTTTTTAATATAAAAATTTGTTTAAAATAAGAATTATTTTCTATAATTTCAAAAATTATAAATCCCCATTGTTAAAATTTTTTATTTAATAAAATTAATTAAAAAATAAAATTTGTAACTGCTCTTTTATACATTGATAAAATTATTTAAATTATTAATTGAAATAAACTTATGATATCAATAAAAACTGTTAATTGACTTGATGATTTATTAATAAAAGAACTATTTGTTATGAAATTAAAAACTTTAAGATCGATATGTAATTTCCAAAATTATAGAAGACAAATCGTATTTTAAACAAATCTCAATGATGCATTTGTAATTTATTTTTATTTTTTTATGAAAAAAATTTTTTTTTTTTTTTTTTTTTTTTGAAATAAAGAGAGATACAGAGGGGGAGAGAGAGAGTGGTGATTTTATTTATTTATTTATTTATTTATTTTCTCATGATAAAATATTAGTAATAAAGGTCTATTTTGACAAGTTGGTTAGAAATTTTTTTTTGACTTTTTTGAATTACATAAATTGTTTCTATCTTTTTACACATTTTTTAAAAAAAAAAAGAAAAAAAAAGAAAAAATTAACTTTTAATCTGCTTTCTAAAATAGATCAAAGTTAGATTATTATAATAGATCAAGTTAGATTATTATAATACCCCTCTATTGACTATAGCTTGAGATATTACTACAAGTGCACAAAGCGTTGCCTTATTACGTGCTTTTTGGAAATATCATTTACACAACTTGACAATATTTTGATAATTTACGCACAAAAAAAACTATGAATAAACAAGTTTAAGGTAGTGTTTGATACTGTTTTAAAATTATAATTTGAAAATAAATTTATATTTTGAGTTTATAAATTTTGAAATTACGATTGAAAAAGAGAAAATTTATTTGATTATTAATTTTGAATAGAGTTTTGAATTTTTGATGCGACATATGAAATGAGAAAAGTTGTTTGGTTATAAGTTTTGAAAAGAATTTTCAAAACTTAATTGAAAAACTTATAACTCATAACCAGGGCCGGCCCTGAGAATTAGGGGGGCCTAAGGCAAATTTCGAAAATGGGGCCCCTCTTACATTGACAAAAAAAATTTATGGATAAAATAACAAGTTACAACTTTTTTATTCGTTTGTAACAAAAAAAAAATTTACTTGCACATATAATCATTAAAATTATAAACAAAACAATTTAATGAAACAAAATTAGGGGAAAAAAACTAGGAAAAAATTATTCAATTAAAACTGATAAAGACGTAAGTAAAAAAATTAGGGCAAAATTATTTCTTCCACTAAAATCTAATAGATAAAGAAGGTTAAAATAAAATAAAATTAGGGCCCATATATTGTATGTATTGTTCTTCTTGGGTCCAAACATTTTTTTAATATATATTTTCATTTTAATAAATATGGGCTAAACTACCCTTATAAATAAATATGAGCTAAACCATACATAGACCCAATAAAATATTTTGGGACACTTTAAATTGATCCGTAAAAAAAAAAAAAAAAAAAAAAACATTGGGCCTATAATATTTTACTAAATTTGGAACCCCTATTTTTGGGCCAAAATTTTGGGACATGAGGCACAGGCCTTACTGGCCTTAGGCCAGGACCGGCCCTGCTCATAACCAAGCACACAACTTAAAATTCTATTGAAAATTCTATTCAACATTCCTAACCAAACTCGTTTTAAAATTCATTTCAATTTTTTTTTTTGTTATTTTGGTCTAAAAAATAATTTCTATATTTAAAAAAATTTAAAACAAATTTTTTTTTTTTTCCAAATAATAGGTAGCGATTGACAATTGAGAAAAAAAAGTACTGTTCTGGTCAATCGGGCGAATGACCAGCCGGACATTCAGGAAGATGTCCGGACGGATGATCGGATAGATCAAAAATTCAAAATTTATCTACTTTACCAAACATGTTTTCAAAATGTATTTTAAAATTGATTTGAAATCATGATTTAAAAATTCAAACCAAACATAGCATTAGAATGTAATGATGAAATTAATTTTAGAAAACTCTACCAAACACATAAGTTAAGTATTGCTGTTTTTGTTGTTGTTGTTTTTGTTTTTTTTTTCCAAACATAAAGAAAAAGCTAAATCAAACAAAATTATAATTTATTTAAAATTTAAAAAGATTTACTAATGAGGGTCTTTAAGATAAACATAATGGCCCCGTTTGTTTGGGATTATAGAGAGGGGATTGAGATTGATAATGAGGTGGGACTCACTATTTTTTTGTTTGTTTTGAGAGATGGAGAAGGAATTCGTAATCCCCTTCGGATTATGAATCTCATCGGGGAGGAGATTCGGATGGGTCTCAAGCACTTGGTATTAGAAAAACAATCCGTCGAACTATTTTTTATTTTTTTTTTTACATGTTGGGCATTTTTTTTGAACATTAATGTTTAATTTTTTTAAATTTTTTTTAGAAATTTTTTATTTTTTACATGTTGGGCTTTTTTTTTGAACATTAATGTTTAATGTTTTTTTATTTTTTTATTTGTTTTATTATTTTATATAAAAATAATTTAATAATTCCTACACCAACTAATATCATCAAAACAAACACAATTTTACTTAGGGATAGTTTAGAATGATCTAAATAAGTATATTGTTTGACTTTTTTTATAAAATATGAGTTAGATATGGGTTGGGTTTGAAGTGATGTGGTAGAGAGGTGATGTGACTTTAATAGAATAGTGATTTTTTAACTTTTTGACTTTTTTAAGTTATGACAAATAATACTTGAATCCTCTCACTATGAATCTCCTACATTTCTAATTCTGAAAAAAAAGGGACCAATATGAATATAGTTAAATGATCTTGTTTTTTAAGAAGATGT